TCCTGGGAGGTGGGTAGAAGGAAAAAGATGGCCGAATAACAAAAGCTTTCCACAAAGAGGGCAGGCCGAACTCGGGTCGTCAAGAAACCATCAACATGACGGAGAATAAAACTGACCCTAAAAGACAGGCATGGCGGTGACTGAGCCACCTGAAACAGAACGGACAGCGGCTGATTCAGCAGAGCGGGGCGCCACTGCCCGGAGCACAGGGGACACCGATCTGGCTGAGAGGACATTCTGGAGAAAACAGCAGAAAGGAAAAAAGACCTTGGATCCAAAACGTGACAAGATGCCAGGTAAAAAAATGAAGAGCAGAAAGGGCTCTTCGCTAGCTTTTTTAATACAAAAGAAAGAGCAGGAGGTGAAGTGGAAGTCTCTGAACAAGGACGGGGACGGGGACGGGGACGGGAGGCAGCGGGAAGTGGGAGCTGCCGCCCAGGGACTGGAGCAGCAAGGCTGCGACCCCAACCTGCAGGCCTTACCAAGGCCCCAGGAGTGCTGATGCTGCGAGCCTGGGCTCCACACCGAGACCGCAGATCTCAGGGGTCCAGTATTTGTCTGTGAGTGCAAAACAGAAAGACACGTGGGCACCGAGAGAAGAGTGACTGCAGCACTTCTCACGTGGAAGGCCAGCCCGCTCCACACCGCGAGGGCTCACCAAGTGAGGAGAGCGATAAATTAAAAAGGCACATTTCCATAAAATGCCCCGACAACAACAGACGATCATAAAATCTCTGATCATAAAGGAAGGTTCCAAGGAAGGAAGAGGAATCTGAACGAGCACAGACAAATACAGGTGGGTCAGATTTATATTCTGTAGGGATCACGAGGGCCTTTGAGCGGGCAGGGTGGGACTGCGTGGGATGAGGCAGGCGGGTCCCTGTGGGCGTGAGAGAACTTTTCAGCGGAGGAAAGGGCTATCGGGGCCAACTTAAAAGACAACTAGCAGATGGTGGCCTCGCTCAGGAATCTGAGGAGCTTGGAGGGTGACCGGGCTGAGGGCCTGAAGACGTTTGGCAAAGTGGGAGCTTCTGGATTCCACCCTGGGGCTTCGGAGGGGAGATGCTGGACCAGCATCTGGTTTTAGGTCTGCAGCTCCGGGAGAGCAGACCGCAGATGTCACGTACACGCTCAGCCTGCAGGTGGCTTTATCTGTGAGACATCCTCCCACCTACCCTCCAGGTATCAGGTAACGATTTCATGAAAAAGCTTCCAAAAGATAACTTCCCGCATGGGAGCACCTTCTGAAAATGTTTTCACTGCATTTTTCATTTCACGTGAAGTAGCTCTAGTGAACTCTCCACAAACCCGGTGTGCCCAATGCAGTGCCGCCTGCTGCCCTGCGTGTGCCCCCCGAAGGCGCCAAGACTGCGGCTGCGACACTCGTGTCACAGATTAAGCAAGATGGGATGTGGTGTCGAAAACGGGATGCTGCTCCTGCAGCCACGTGAAACCCTCGTCCACATGCCGCACGTCAGTGTCTCCTGACCGCCGGGTCCCATCCTGTCCCCCCAGTCCCTGAGAACAAAGTCGCCGCCCACCTGAATCCGGGACCGGGCCAGGTACACGTTGGATTTCCACTCGGTCTTCATCTTCCGGTACTGCGACGACTTTGAGTGGACGAACTGCTTGCTGTACGGGGCGTTCAGCTCCCCGGTGACGGTGCTCTGAAACGACTTCGAGGTGCTGGTGCTGTTCAAGGTGTGCGGCCTGCAGACGGCGGCGTGCCAGCAGGGAAGACAAAAGGGAACTGAAGAGACCTCTGACTGGGCGCAGGGCCGAGGTGCGCGCGCGCTCACTGACACGACCGTACCGGGGACCGCCCAGCGGAGCCACGCGGCGGGCCTCGGAAGCGGCCGGGCAGACACAGCCAGACACGGCAGGGTTTGGAAGCAGCAGACAGACCAAGCACGGACCCACCACAACGCCTAGGAGCCCTGGGCCGTACTATGTGAAGTCAAAACAAAATACCTTAACACAAACCTCTTGACATGGGCACTCATTTTAGGTTCAGAACGGGCACAGCCAGTGGGGTTGACGGCGAGAGGCAGTTCCATGAGAGGGTTCCGGCCGTACCGGAAGGTGTAGTTCTCGCATGCCTCGACCCCCGGGAGCTGGAACGAAGCAAAACAGACATGAGTCAACACCTGTGACCGACGCCACAGGCAGTCGAGCTGGCCGAAGGACGGCCATCTTGAGCTTCGTGGAAATAACCTGTGAACGTTTTCGAAACGTGGGTAATAGCGTGGTCTTTCAGTTCACATTAACATGTCAGCCTGCGCTCAGGTCTCCGTGAGCATGAACGTGAAAATGGGGTCTCAGAGCAGAACCCGGTAAAATGCTGCCCATGCCCCATGAAGGAAAAGTTCAGCCCACGGGACCACCGCCACGCACGCCCGTGGGTTTCGGGGTGATGCCCCCGGCCTTCCCAAGCGCGGGGAGGGTGCTGTTCGCAGCTTCGTTCTCTTGCCTGGGCTAACGCCGACCTCTCTCTGTCTGGAATTTTAAAATTCTGTTAAAAGTCACCTGTGTGGTTTACTCTCCTGATCGTCTCACTTTTCAGTCTGACCATGGTATGATGAGGGTCTCTCAGTGTCCTAGGAGTACAGGTGGTCCCTTAAGATTTACTTGTAAAATAATTTCCCAAAAGCACTGTGTGTAGACTCTTGGCAAACATGCTTGTCATCTCCAAAGATGACAAAGTGATGTCGGAGAAGGCCTAAGTCCTGTGACCCAGCTGCCCCCTGGTGACGAACCCCAGGATGAGGGCAAGACTGGCCACGAACATGCCAGTGTCTGCGGTGGGGCACACGAGCGAACACCCTGAAGTGCAAGAGAGCCGCCCCATCCAGCCCGCCCTTCACCCTGGAAGAGAACCGGAGAGGCGGGGACACCTCACGAGTGAACACTAACAGTCACTGCGCGCTGCCGGTGGCCCGCGAACGCCTCGTTTTCTGTGACAGACAGGAGGTGGTCCGCAGGCAACGTCACCACCTCTAGGCACCATGAACACTACAGCAAGTGCTCAGGTGGCTCACTGGGGACCCTGCACTGAGAGGGGGCGGTGGCACCGCGTCCCGCTTGAGACACTCACTGATTCCGCTATCCGCGCCACCGCAGACACCGTTAGGCCAAATAGATCTTCGCCTTTTAAATACGCTGGGAAGAGCTGGAGCATTTCGGATTTTTTTCTCACACATGCCACGGGCTCCAAAATTTTATCCCAAACACCTACGTATGGACAAAAAAAAGTTTTTATGACAGACTTGCTCTCAGCTAAATAGAGGCAAGCAGGATGCAGCATAAAAACAAGCAGAAAGATGACTAACCCGTCACAAAGACTCCCCAGTCCCCAAGACAGGCCTCTGGGCATCGATGCGACTGGCCTAGCATTACCTGCCTCTCAGCTGGAAGCAGCTTATTTTAAAGACTTTATGAAATTTTGGGGAAAAGAATATGTTGCGTTAAGGAAATTAAGCAGTAAAAGAGAAAAAGAAAGTTTAAAATATTGAAATTTATGCAAATAGTTAATTCATCCTCATACTACACACATTAGATTTTCAAATGTCCAATTAATAATACATCTAGAAGTAATCCTTTCCTTATTTAAATTAAACCATAAAATTTATATTTCCTTTGGAATCACCTTTAAAGCATTTCACGTATTTTTTGAAAACAGCGAACCTTTAAAAAAGTTCCTCAATACTTCCTACATCAGTAAAAATGACAGAGACGATCTAGACTAGTGTCTAATTTCTAGCTCTAAATCTTTAAAAATCTGATGCTCCTGAGATCAGACAATCTACACAATATGCTTTAAAAATGGATCCTGCCTTCCAGATGACATTAAGGGGGTCCCCGACAGGCAACTTTTATTGATGAATTATCCTATTTTATCAACTCTATGTTTGAATATATTCTGATTTAGATTAAGTCTAGCATGTGTTCAGACAACTGTATAGCAGAGAGAGCGCAAGGTACAATCATACAAAGAAATTAAGATCTGCATTTGTCAATTGTTAAGCCCCGCAGAGCATACGAACGGCGGCTCTTACCTTTAGGTGAGGTATCACTCAGGACTAGATCTTCATGGCCCTGCTCCACAATCCTGATGACAAACATGGGGCGCCCATCCTTCTCCTCGATGGAGCACAGATAGCGACAGCGCCTGTTGGCGTAGCGCGTGCTCCAGTAGAGCCGGCTGGCTTCGTAGCCGACGGGAAAGAGCGCCTTAGGGGAATGGAACGCCTGCATCTGCTGCGGGAGCAGCTGGCCGATCGTGTGGAAGATGAGGCTCCCGACACGAAAGGTGTGGTCCCGTTCCCCCCGCTGCACGATGCTGGCGATCTGCCGCACCTCGTCACGCTGCACGTAGACCCTCCTGAAGACCGCGAAGTAACTCAACTCCTGCTCGTGAATCCCCTTGGGTTTGTGCATGGGGCAAAGCATAGTTTTATCCTTAAAAAACATGCATTGTGCTTTAATGGCGCAGGTAAAGTGGTAAATGTTGGCGCAGCGAAACCTGTGACAGCCACTGGTGGCGCCCATTTTGTGACAGAAGACACATTTCATCTGCAGGCCCCTCCGCAGTGCTAGTTCCACGTTTATTAAGGCACCGGCCTGGGTCTCATAGACCTCCGTGGACCACAGGGCACAGTTCAGGTGGACCCACAGATCTAGGTCGAGGTTGAGCAGCCTTGCTGGGCCATCTGTCAGGCCATCGCCTTCTTCGTGACAAAAACAACACTTCCGATAGTCTTTGGGCACAGGATCCGGTTTAAGAGAAGTGCCCAGTTTCTTCAGAAACTCATCTATTTCATCCTCGCACGGCGGCTTGAATGTCCCCTTGGGGATCACGACATGAATACTCCATTTCTTCCATTTCATCCCTCTCCACTTTTTATTTACCGGCCTGCAGTCCTCAAACCCACCATGGACAGTTCTCAGCCGAGGCTTTAGCTTGACTGTGACCTTCAGCTCGTCTGGCTTTGCCTCTACTTTGGCTGCTTCGAAAGCGGGAGGGAAAGTGACAGGGGGCGACGTGGGGGGTGACGCACTGGCGGGGAGCTGCGGGAGGCAGTGCACGTCCAGTGCTGAGACGTTGTTGCTGTACCGATGGAGTGTTCTGGAAGGCGCCTCTCTCACAGGCGGCGGCGACGGAGGAGCAGGCTCCTGGGCGGTAAACAAACACAGAAAAGAGGAGGAATTTGCACGCTCTGAAAGCAAGTCTCGTTCAGACAAGAAGCCAAGCGAGGTTGAACGGTGTGTGACCGCAAGGGACGGGGAGGCTCCGTGAATAAGTGGGGGGGACTCAGCAGAGGTCTGGGCTGAACGACTGAGGCGTTCAGTACTGAGAGAGCAGGGGGCTGATGAGAGAACCGCCGCGGTGGCCCCTTCCCAGGCTCGGCCAGCAGCCACGCCTGCAGACCGCTCTGCCTCCGCCGTCCCTGCTTCTAACCATAACCAAGCCGCCAAGGTCGACACTGCGGAGGAGCTAGCTGATTTAACTTGTGCAATGGAACAGTGATTGTGTTCAACAAAGAACTTCGAAATATCTTCCTCTCTGAGCTTATCCGATTCTCCGCAATTCTTTTCTGTTAAACTCAGGCTTAATTAATTGGCATAAGCGAGAAGGCAGGGAAAGACGTCCCCCGTCAGCCAATGAGCTTTTTTGCTTTTTCGGCTGCTGAAAGAGCTGAGCTGAGAGAAGCTCCAGCGGACCCACCCCACCTCCTCACACCCCGACCCGACGAGGTATCTGAGAAAAAACACCTCACACGGAACCCAGAAGCAGGCAGGGGCTGCACACTGACAAACTGGTGAAAACACCATTTCTTCTCTGGTCTGGACTGACAAATTCTAAGTCAAAGTCTAAACTTATTTGGCATATAACTTGGATTTCATTATAGTAGGGTCTACTGCCTGTTAAAAATGAGTCTCCAGAACGCTGTTCTAAGACAGACACATGAGAGCAATAACCTAGAGGGAGGAACGACAGGCAGTATTTCTGCACGAGGGAAAAGCTTCAATACAAATGATTAAAAATAGATCGTCCGCCATACCGATGGCCAACAGACACATGAAAAGATGCTCAATGTCACTAATCATCAGAGAAATGCAAATCAAAACCACAATGAGACATCACCTCACACCTGTCAGAATGGCCATCATCAATCAATCAACAAAAACAAGTGTTGGCGAGGATGTGGAGAACGGGAACCCCCCGTGCACTGCGGGTGGGAATGTAAACTGGTGCAGACGCTACGGAAAACAGGATGGGGGGGTGTCCTTAAAAAAATTAAAAATAGAACGTGTGTCCTAGCAATTCCACCCTGGGTATTAATCCAAAGGAAAACAAAACACTAATTCGATAAGGTGCACAACCCCCCATGTTCACTGCAGAGTGATTTACAGTAGTCAAGACTTGGGAGCACCCTAGGCGTCCATCAATAGAGGGATAGATAAAGAAGAGGGCGGTACACATCTATGATGGACTGATTCAGCCATAAGAATGAACCTTGCCATTTGCAACATGGACCTAGAGAGTATTATGCTCAGCGAAATAAATCAGAGGAAGAGGAACACCATACGATTTCACTGATAGGAGGAATCTAAAAACCAAAATAAATGAGAGAGAAACAAACTCGCTGATCAGAGAACTGACAGTCACCAGACGGTAGGAGGTTGGGGGAATGGGCGAAAAAAGTAGAGAGATTTAAGAAATGCAAATTGCCAGTTATAAACATAACCGTGGGGGCGTAAATGCAGCAGAGGGAACATGGCTGTGCAATAACCGTGTACGGTGTCAGACGGGCACTAGACCTCTCAGGGTGATCACTTCATAAGGTATATAAATGTCACTACACTGCACGCTTGAAAGTAATACAATATTGTATGTCAACTAACTGAAAAATAAATTATAAAAAAAGATACAATTGCTCTAGAAAAACAAATGTCTGCATCAACCACATGCTTAGATACACTTAAATGACACCAAATCAAGTAAAGTAGACCAGCATTTCCACCAGAGTATGAGCAAAATAATTCCTCCTCTAAACGTATGAATACACCTAAATCAGTGGGATAAGATCAGTAAAAGCCATATTTTATAGTAATAATTATTTGTTAAGTGAATAAATAAAATTAAAGATTTTAGTGTTTGTGTTTTATTCAACTCTGAACTTTTAAGATGTAATTCAAGTCCATCCACTAGTCACATAAGTTGAACTTATTTAATCTGAAATGGCGACATGGACGGCGGATTTTTAAAACCACTTTCCCAGACTGAGCTTCTGCTCGGCCTGCAGAGGCAGAGCGCTCCGGGGGCCCAGGCCTCCACCGACGCACCCGGCACATGGACGCCACGCCCTGCCGCTGACTGAGACTGTCCGAATTTACCTTGCTTTCTGGGTGTTTTGCTTGTGCAGTCGAAGAATAAAGGATAAAGCAGTTATTACTACAGAAGACAATGTCCTTCTCCACTCTACTGGTGCTTTCTCGGGACTCCTGAAAGGCAATGAGAAAT